TCTAATCGTTCAACCATGGTTACTAGCCCTCGCACCAACTCGGTCAAAGTGGCTATTTGGGCTTGCATATGCATCGGGTCCGGCCGTGGTATGTCGGGAGGCTGGGCTCCATTTTCGTCTGGGCGTAAATCTCCTTCCATCCCGCTATTCTTTGGGTGGGCGGATGTTTGTAGCTATACTTTTGGGGGTCGAACGCTTTCCGTCCCCAGTGGAGTCGCCAATTATTGACGGTTGGATTTCGTCAACAATAAACCCGCCGGAATACCTTGGGGTTCCCCTTTGGATTACCGGCTTGTGGGTTTAATGAAAGTGTGGATTCAGGTTGAATTTAAGTATTTTTGTGTTTGAATGAACTGTATGTAAATGAACAAGAAGAATTTTATAGTGGTTCGCTCTATGAAATTAGAGCTACATCCACTGTATATACTATATTTCTTTTTGTGGAAATCTGAGTTTACAATGAATATCATCTCTCTTTCTCTCTTTCTCTTTCTTTTTTCTTTTGAATTTTTCGGTCCCCTTTCCTATTGGGGTCCTTCTTCTTTTGTACTCGGGCTTCCTTCACTAGGTGGGTTTCCTTCGTAGGTAGGAACACTCAAGTGCTCTCCCCCTCTAGGCCCAGACATAGCCCACTAATTAGTACTGTTCACTCAACCAATTAGTATTCTATTATGGCTCTGTAACTCTCCGTAATGCTTTTCTGTCCCCTGGGGGGGACGGTTTGTAAAATTACAATTAATGCTGTTAGACTTCCCTTATCTTTGCATGTAACCTATCATGTCGAAAAGGGACGTTCCCCTCGTCGTCAGTGGTTGTTTAACCTTTCTCGCCCCTTCCAGTGATCTCTTCTGCAGTCGAGGGATCTTGTCGTGTCGACCCAGGCGAAATCAACCGTCGACGCCTCATAGGGTCGTCGCCCTAATTATGGACTTCATCTTCGGGTTCTATAGCTGATCTTGAGGGAAACGAAGCGTCGAGGGTTGGGTGCTCGGCGGAAAGTAAGTATAGTCACGTGTCGTGGCACCGTCAGTCCAGGTGTCCATCACATTTTCCCACACAACATTCCCTATCCTCCCAAAACATATACCATGCAAGCTGTGAAGAGGAAATTTCACCAGTGTTCTCCTCTGTTTGCCGCCATGAGGAGATCTCACGCCGGTGATGTCGAAATCCTTGGTGATGTTGTGCTCAAAGTTTGACAACAATGTAGGCGACCTTTGGCAGTGGCTAGAGTGACGGGGGAGAGAGAGAAATTCTAGAGATGTTTGAAATTTCTAGGAATGACAGACGGGTAAAATCGGTTTTATGGGTGTAAATTGAGTAAATTATGGATTTATCAAATTTGATCACGGGGTAAATCTGAAATTTATTGAATAAATCACGGATTTATTAAATTTGCTTTTTATTCGTTAAATCTCGGTTCCACTGCTATTTACTTGTTTACCCAAAACTTTTACTATTTATTGTCGTTATTTTCCTCAAAATTTGTCAGGGAAAATTCTTGTGAACTGAGAAAATAAATATGATATTCGTTTTGATTCTCTCGTATCAACGTTGTGCTTGAATAAATAACTACTACAAGTTCAAGCAAATGAGTTTGGGTCGATCATCTTATGTCTAATACCCTTTAATACCCCTCCTTTATATATAAGTTCAAAATAATATATATTTTTTTACTATAGTCTTTTCTCTCATAAAAATTTAAATTTCAATTCAAGTTTTCCATCAAACCTATATCAGAATTATATTTGTCTGCTTTTGGTACGTAATTTCTTATTTGTTTTGTGATTAAAAACAAAATCACTTGTTGTCATTTACTCTTTTCAGTATCGTTTTGTTATTGATAGTCTTATTCTCTGTGGCCATTCAATTTTTGTTGTCATTTTGTTATATGATAGTCTTTTGATGTTTATTTTTATTAATGTTGCCCTCATAAAGCCTTAACCATTTTCCTCGGCATATACTTTCTAATTGCTTTCATTTGTTTTTTTTTTCCTTCACTTGTTGTCTTGATTTATCAAAACCTTGCAACTATTTCTTTGCTATCTTTGAGTAAACCATGAAATATGTTGTCAATTAGAAACAATTTCCGTTCATGATTGTCCAACGATAACATCGGCCTCCATGCATAAAAACCTTAATCTTAAGTACTTGTAAGATACCTTTTTCTTTCCAATAAAAGAAGCAACATTAAAACATATAATTAAAAACCAATTAAGTAGACATATAATTAGAAACCAATTAAGTAGACACCCGATTATATAAATTTGCAAAATTCTACGAAACAATAAAAGAATAAAAATAATGGAGTGCTTCTGTACAGATCTTCTCTTCTAATAACACGAGAGAAAGAGGCCTCATTAAACCTTACCGGAAAAAAACTGTAGTAATTAAGGAAAAAGAGTTCATGAACCTTAACTATGAACAAGGATTTCGGCTTGAGTTAATTCAATATTTGTAGAAAATAACGATATTCCTTGTCTTCAGACACCAAGTGAGAGCTTATAAATTAATGAATTTTGATGTTAGCCTATTAGCTACTTGTTGGTTTCACGGAAAATATGTTCAGAAACTCGTCAATATTATGCCATATATATCAAACATTGTATACGTAAAGGCCAATTAACTATCTTATTTTGAGTTTCCAAATTAGCACTTGCATATTATTGTACGTACGCGTGCACACCCGAAGTAAATAGTTTAGAAGTGTTTTACAAATACGTACTTATGTTCTTGTATATTTCTGTTTTGTTCGGACATGTAACCAAGATCACACACACACACACATATATAAATATACACATACACATATACATACACACATTATAGAGAATCAAACACAAGGTGATACAAATTATTTGTAATATATATAACACATAAATGCGAGAAGAAAGAAGAAAAATAAGTTTTCGGATCAAGAACGTTACTCAGATTTGCATGGCGCGTCCGCGATTAAAGATTATCAAGATGAATCACTACGAGGCATTTCGAAGCGGCACAAGGGGCAAAAGTGACTGGTCTCCAACCACCGGACAATGCAGTCTTTGTGAAAGTGATGAGAGCAGGGCATGTTACCAAATTATTCTTGGCATGATCAAGATGAGACAAATCCTCCATACAGATTGCACATGGATATTCTTCCACTTTTGCTCTACGGCGAGTCTCATCGGCCACCTTCTCCTTCACCTTCACCTTATTCTTTAGCCCCTCGACAGACGACGCAGCCGGGACGGCCGTGTGAACCTGATCTTGCGAAGCCGACTCCGCCATGACGTTCTCCATCAGGCGCTCTTCATCGTAGGGAGTCACGGCTTTAACTTCAAGAGAGAAAATCAGAACTTTGCAATCAGCATAGAGAGGCTGCGCCAGCATACATGGCCAGCATATGTCCATGGTCATGTTTTGGATGGTCTCAGGGGCCGGGATGCGCATTCTTGAAAGCAAGTGCTCGACACGGGGAATTGCAAACCAGCGGTCTTCTGTGGCGGCCAAGTGCTCTACATGATCGGGATGCTGTGGGTGTCGAATATCATCCGACCGAAGCAAATGGCGATAGTTGTATTGGAAGATCATGTAGTGTTTGGGCGCTCCGACAGTGGCATTAGAGAACCGAGTACTCTTTTCGACATCAACGCGCAGGTCGAGATCGAAGAAAGTCCGATAGTACTGATCCCCCATGCTTAATTGGAATTAGCGATGATGATCTTAATTTTGAAGATGAACACTTAAAAGGGTGATCAAGAGTCAAGACTACTCTGAATTAATGAATCTTTGGGGGAACTTGATCTGTTAGATATAGGCTTTTAATTCGGTCAAGTGACGGTGATGAATGAAAAGTCTAACGGGTGATAATATGTGTATGTGTAAATAATCACATGCAAATTAAATGAAATAATTATGCAAATCACGCCGTTCATCTTAAGCACCCATAAACGGTTGAAAAGAAAAGGACAAGAACAAGAAACGACAAAATGTACAGTTCACATAAAAGCGAAACGACAACATATGAGGAAACAAGACCGAAAGGAGAAAAGGACAACAAATGAAACCACAGAAATGTTTAAAACAGCAACATATTAGAAACGACAAGAAAAGTAGTGGAGCGACAGTAATTGAAAACGACAACATTTGAGAAACGAGACGACAAGCAAAGGAGTAAACTACAAGCAAGGAAACGACAGAAAAAGTAGATGGCAACAAATGAGAAGACGACAAGAACCAAGTTGTCTACAGTTGTAGCATTTACCAGACAGAACAGATTACAGATTCAATCGATTTGAGAGACTTTAGTTCGTAGATTAAAATGATGTGATTAAAATTATTTTTAATTTATATATATTTTTTATGAAAGAAAGCCCTTCGAGTCCTTTGCTCCTCTTCGTCGTTGTTCATGGGAATCCCAAACTTCTACAGCCAGCTGAGACACTTCTCAAGGTCTCTTCGTCTCCGCTCTCTCATTTCCACTTCTCTTCCCAAAGCCCTCGCACCTTTTCCTTCAATTTTCCCCGATTCCGATCAGTTTCAGCGCACGAAAACCAAGCAAAATCCGATAAAGTCCTTCTCTTCCTCGGCATCTCAAGTCTCGCATCTTCTCCTAACTCCACGCCGTGTTTATGGCGACCCAAACGTTTCGATGAACCCGTATGGAGGCTTCCGATCGTTTTCAGCTTCGTCTCCGAATGCTTTGAGTTCAATAATGTGGAATTCCATTCGTAAAAGAAAAGGAGCGAAACCGTTTCGGGTGGAATTTTCCGAAGTTGTTGATATGATCCGGAGGAATGAGATAAGTTTGGAGTGCGAATTGAATCTCAGCGAGGTATGGCTTACTGTTGCCTACATTAATCGAATTTTTGAGGCGTTGAATTCCGAAAAAGTGTCGGCTTTGCGATTTTTTAATTGGGTTAGGGTTTCGAAACCCGGTCTGCGTCGAAATTCCGATATTTGCAGTTTGATGATTGATAATCTTGGGCGGTTGAATGATTATGAATCAATGACTTGCATTTTGAATGAATTTAGGGAAGAACAGATTTGCCTGACCAAAAATGCGTTTCGGTTCTTACCTGATTTGATGTTGAACAAGGATTCGCTTATGAATTCTGTGACTGAAGCTGTGAAAATTTTGAAGGGTGTTGGTGGGTCATGTGGAGCTACTGGTGTTCGTTCTTTGATTGAGTTGTTTAGCAGCTTAGGTTTATTAGAAATGGCCAGGTTTGTGATGCAGTTAACAGAGAAGAACACGTCTTATTACAACATCATGATACGGGAAAAGTGTCGCAAACACGATCTCGAAGGCGCGAGGGGTTTGCTCAACGAAATGAGGCAAGCGGGTTGTGAACCAAACAGCACAAGTTACAATTTGGTGCTCAGTATCTTATATAAGATTGGAGAAAGTGCTGAGGTGTTGCTTAAAGAAATGAAAGACATGGGTTGTTCTCCGGACGAAACAACATTTGAGATACTTGTTCTTCAGTCGTGTAAACATGGGCACTTTGATTTTGCACTAGGGATTGTGGATGAAATGCTGTCATTCGGCCTTGAACCTCGGCTTACTACTCATGTTGCCATTGTCAAGGGCTACTTTGCTTCACAGAGATATGAGGAGGCGCATAAGTATGTGGTTGATTCAAGTCTTAAGCATAGGCAATCAAGCAATGTACTTTATAGCTTGCTCGCAGGACTTTATCTAAAAAAGGATGATACGGTCAATGCCCTGAATATTATATCAGAGATGATTGAAAAGGGTCTTAGACCACATTTTCGAGTGTATAATGAACTTTTAGGATGTCTCCAAAGATCGGATGGGACTGATTTGGCTAGAGATTTGGAGATCAAGTTCTCTAGGCTGTGTTCGCAGACAACTACAGAAACTGGTGATTTATCATTCGTAGTTCCGGAATAATTCCCATAGCTCCTAACACGTTCAGTCTTTGCATTCTTCCATCTTTTTCCTTTCTGGATAAGCTGGTAAGAGTCATCTAGAGGCTGAGTTGTCTAAGGAAGTTGGGGGAGGGGACGTTTGGCGTGAGTGATGCCTAGAAGTTGGGAAATGGTGATGTAAGGAAGAGGGGAGTTAGTTAGTGAGAATGGAATAAAAGTGGTGAGAGGAGAATGGGGGAATTTATTGATCATTTTATCAGTCTTGTATTTGGTGAGCTTGGCTCGGGAGTGCAAGGGTCTCTTGAAAACCCTCATATCTTCTTATATTCTCTTAATTTTCATCGATACAAGTCTAATTTCTGTTGTTGATAAATCATTTTGGGTGCGTTTTAGAACTCGTTCTAAAATAATTTTATTTTCTGTATGAAAATAAAAACGAAAACGTTTTCATTTTTATTTTAAAATTATTTTTGAAAATACATTTAGTAATTTTATTCTGAGATTATTTTCAGTTTAAAAAAAAATTGAAATTGTGTTTGGTGATTTAATTTTTAAAAACATATAATAATATTTAAAATAATAATATATTAAATAAATAATAATATTAAATATATTAAATAATATATATTAAATAAACATTATATACATCAACAAAACTAAAAACCAGAGTAAAACAAGAAACATGGACAAAACCAAAAATCAGAATAAAACAAGAAACATGAACAAAACCAAAAACCAGTGTAAAACAAGAAATATGAACTAAATCAAAGTTAAAAAAACACCTACAAGTGTATCTTATAAGTGCTTTTGATGTTTCCAGCATCATCAATTACAACATGGGTATTACTCAAGCGCTTATCATCAGGTTCTTTTTGTTGGAAACCACCAAGTGACAACCAAATGCCTGATTCTCTGCAACAAATGCCTGCCCATAAATCTCTATAGCCACAAAGGCGAGCAACAAACGTTCTGTTATTTTAAGACTTTCCCCATCTTTGGCACCCACAAAGGCGAAGTTTTCAGGAAAGCATATCAATTTCGCCCCAGCTGAAGCTGCTTCCTTTACAGATTCAATAGTTCATCATTTTTATAACCGCTCAAAATTTACGGAAATTTTGATTAAAAGAACTATAAAAGAAGACTTTTGGATATTTGATAAAATCGATTGAATAATATTATCGACATTTATCATTGTTGGATGACGAGAAAAAAAAGAAAAACAGATAAGCGATCAAATTACTTTGACGAGGCGAGAGCAGGTGGCGAAGAGGTCGTTGACGGAGGTCATCTGAGCGGCGGCGACTCGGACGGAGTTGGCGGCGGTCATGACTGAGTTCGACTCGCCGGCGTCTGTACGGAGGGAGCGAATCGGCACGATGCTCCGGAGAGATGGCGCGAACGCTCCGGTGCGAGTGTTGTACGGAGAAGAGTTGGGGGGGGGGGAGCAGTCGGAGAAGCCCATCCCCACCCGGTGCAGTCCAACGGAGAACGAAGAACAGCGAGGAAAGAAGAAAAGGAGAGTAGAAGAAAATGGAAAACGAGTATAAACCGTTTTCAGAAATGTATACAAAATATGAAAAGGGTCAAAAACGTTTTCAGTTTCAATTTTTAAGAAAACACAAACTAAACGCGTTTTTGAAGCTATTTTCAGTTTTTATTCCTCGAAAAATGTGAAAAACGTTTTTGAGAATGAAACCAAACGCGCTCTTTGTCTTCCAAAATACCTGCACTTGAATTTGCTTGAACCAATCTTAACAATGACCTTCCTCAATCCTTGCACTGTAATATATAAATTTGCACGTCATTCTGTTCACAATTAGGACAATGCTTTTAGCTTTCCAGTGCGAATTGTAGAATCGTTGCATACATGACGAATCCATCAAAAGAACGATGCATTTTCCACTAAATTTACATAGAAGGACTAATTATACGGGAAAACAAAAGATACAATCTGTTTTCTTTTAATTGTACATGGCCCTAGTTCAAAAAGACAAACACTCAGGTTCGCCCATTCGAAGATGTTGACAGGCTTCAGAACATAGGATTCCTATTTTCATCACCATGAATATACCTATTAACAAAACATCAGCTGCAACTTGCAGTCTTGCATGATATTGTGATCTTACTCTGCCTGCTGTTAGTATCTCTCTGTATTTCAAATTCTGAAGTACTTGCTGCGCAGGTTCTCGTTTTGATGTCTTATATACGAAACTTTACCAGTTTAACCATTTTTCTGCATTCAATGAGCCGATAAGAAACAACTGCTCTGCAGCCCCGGTTTTGTCACCGCCAGCTTGGCATCTTGAGTCTGCAAAGTTTCGCAGTACTGTAAGTAGAAAAAATACGCAGACTTGTTGCTAGATTTGATAAACTAATGCTGTTGCACACCCAAGTTAGAGAATGCGTGCTTCTTAGAAATGAAATCAAAAGGGAAAAAGTTTTGTCACGGTAACCATTTTGCTGCTCAAGAATAATTCAACAATTACATTTCTTGTCCTTTCAGGAACAAAGACAACCACGCTTTCAATCTTTTGGCTATAAAAATATGGAGCTACCGTACCTTGGTTCCTTTCGAGCATGTGCCAGATTTTTGGGTTGTGATATTGTATTCTGGAATTTGTTAATGACAATGCAATACTAGCTTAGCTTCTCCAAGAAAAAAAAAATGCAAGAAAAAAAGATAGAATGAAAATATTGAATAATTATTAATATCAACGGATTCGATCACCTGTGACCTGATAAGTTTTTCTAATGGATAATTGAATAAAAATGAAAGGGAGGCCGGTTCGTAAAGATGTGGAAAACATAAAACAAGTTAGAAGTTCTCTGGTATTTTTTAGACAAACCCTTGCAGATGAGAAATAAAATTGGACAAGGACCAACCTTCTGGACCATTTTCAAATCCTTGCGACCGCTCGGTGGCGTCGTTGTTGCAGACTTGGAACCTCTTCCAATTGTAATACTACTTTTGCTCTCTCCCTGTTGATAATACATCCATAAGATACTGAAATTATGACCAGATAGACCCCCCCAAAAAAAAATGCTGGACTATGTTGCTAATCAGCTCATCCATGGATGAACCTAATCAAGAAAAATCTGGGAATTACCTCTTTCTGCTTTCTTTCTATGTCATAGCTCCTATGAGCATGAAGGGTTTTAAGCCTAGTATTTGCCCAAAGTTCAACAATCAGAAGAGCAAGCGAAAGGTTATGTTCGGAAACAGAGAGAGCAAGAGAGAGAGCGAGCAGGAAACAAAGAAAATGAAAATGAACCTGTTTTGTGCACCCTTCTGTTCTAAACCACCAGAAGCAGTCTCCTTCGAAGAGCACTGCATAAATAGATAATTGAAGTACAAACATTAGCAGGTGAGCTGAATAAAATTGAATATTCATTAAATCCGGATAGTGATTTACCTGAGTGGATTGTGTTGTTCCTGGTAGACTTCTCCGAAACTTGTCTCCCAAATCTCTGCCACATGAATTTGTGTTTTTTTGATCGATTCTGCCAATAGGAGAAGGTGTCACCAACCTGTTCCTTGCCAAGGATGTATGCCGAACAGTCGAACCAGAGCATGCTTCTGCAAGCTGTCTTTGAGAGGAAACATGGATGGACTTATTGTCATTTTCAGCTTTGTGAGTGCTGTTTTTGCCTAAAACAATACTGCTCTCTGCTTTGGCAGTGATTTTATTATGCGGAAATGGTTTTGTCTTCTCAGATAACTTATCACCATCTTTTGTGCTTCTGCTTCCTATTTTTGTTCTCTCACGTGCAGAACCAAAACCTTCATTTCCCTGTAAAAAGGAATGATAGTAAATAAAGGTCCTTTTTTTTGGGTAAAGAAATAAAGGTCTTGATTATCAGGAAAAAGGAGGAGCAAAGAGGCGGAAAACTCCAAAGTAATCATGTAAAGTACGTTGAAAACACAGCATCCAACAGTCTGATCCTAAATACAACCAGATTAAAGGTAAAAGGAAAAAGAAGAGGAGAGGGGGATTAAGACCGTTAACGCTAATAATGACTTACCCTGCTATTTTCATTTTTTTTTGTCTTCTTTTTTTTTTTTTTCTTTCTTTTTCTTAGCACTCACCCTTACAAGTTCAAGAGAACTCATTTCTAGAATATTGTCCATATGAGAACAGAATGTATACATGAATATATGCTAACAGATTAATTCAATTTTACAGTTAAGCAAATGGATTAATATGAGAAATAGATTGTCATCATAAACAGTTATACAAAATAAGATTGTCACAGATATTAGATTGTAAATAAAGAAAGGAAGAAAGAGTAAAGATACGGATACCTGAGCTTTTGGCTTGTTTGCTATACGCTTGGCAGACTTAGATACCGGGCTTTCACGCTGGGAGTTTCCCGAGTTCCTAGTGAAAGGGGTGTGCAACGAGGAAGCCTTTTTGATTGGTTGGTCTGGCTCAGTAGCACATAAGGACTCAACACTTGCATCCGTGGTGCGATCCTTTTCATCATTGCTACTCCGGTCACTCAAATTTGCTTTGGTGGCTGCGTCTTGTTTCTCCGCAGTGCCCTCCGAAGACGAATCAGACTTGGCGCCGGCATCACTCTCTAATGTCTGAACTTCTTGAACTCGTCTGGAATTCGTTTCCCCTTTTGAGAAAGCCGAAACATTACCGGTCTCTACTTGTGTGACACAACTCTTTGCATTTCGGAAACGACCAAATCCTGCGGTCTCTTGCTGATCAGCTTGCGACGCCTTCATCGCTCTAATTCTTCCGTAGTACTCTTCGAAATAGGCCTTTTTTTGCGCAACAAATCCTGGTTCCTTGAACTTTTCCAGCTCCTCCTGGCATCTGTTGTGGGAAAAAACTGACCGTCTCTCCCATGAAAGTGTCTCTCCAGCAAATCTTCCAAATGATATGGAACCATGATCCCGAATATCAGAGACAGATTCAGCCTGCTAAAGAAGGCCAGATTGAAATAAGAATAAGACCACATAATAAACCGAAAAATCAGAGAACTTTGACACTTTCTTTTGTTATTATATTGGAGTAACTTCTCATTTTCTAAGAATTATCAAAAAAAAAAAAAAAAAAAAAAAAAACTTCTCATTTTTTAAAAAATAAAAAAAAAAAAAAAAAAAAAAAAAAAAAACTTCTCATTTTCTAAGGATCAAAGACATAAAACACTCATCTTCAATTTACGGAAAACAAAACTACATGAATTATGAAAGTTGTGAGTTTGTGACTACCTTATATTTTGACAAAGTACATAGAACTGTTAATTTATTTTGTTTTCATAATTTAATTTATGAAATTCCTGTTTTCAAGCGAAGAAAATAAGGATATTATTTTATTATTATTATTATTATTATTTTTTGGCTACTGACTTGTCTTCGGAATGTAAAGGCCCATAAGTTTTTTTTCCAGTTTTGAATCTAGTTGCTGAAGTAGAAAATGGGGCAATATTTAGATTCTAATTAACGAAAGAAAATACTGATTCATGAAATAAAATATATAATATTAAAAAAATCTGATTCTTTTCTTCTAATACTCTTTATTTATGCACATGAAAACAAGCGTATGGTCAATATACAAATTTGACTTTGTTAAAACTTTGTACTATCAGGTCGTTCAATAGTCCCAAAAAAAAATAATAATTTATGCAAGTGAATAGAATATCACTTCAATCGAAATCAGTCAGAACATAAGAAAGAAGAATTCAAATGACTTGAAATAGAAAGGAAAGAATAACATCGGGAGAGATAGAGAGCAGAGAATTTTTTAAATAATTATGAATAAAAGTGAGAGAGAAGATTATAATTAAAAAAGAAGCGAAAGACTAATCCTACAGTACCTGAGGGCTTTGGTTTTCTGATGCAATCTCAAGGCTGGACCAGCCATTACAGTTATTTTGATGAAAATCAGTCTCTGCCGCCATTGCTAACTTTCTCTTCCTCCTCACGCTCAAACTGATTAAACCAAACCTTTCTATCGAATTATCATTCTAGAAAACTCCTGCGGGAAAATCGCGGGAGAAACTCCAGTCAGTCATTTTCCCGGCAACCAAACGAAAATCGCGACGCTCGATTTCAACCAAGAGCGCTAAAGAAGAGAATAGTGAATTTGTTTTGCTCACCAAAAGGCACATGCAAAGAAGTTTTCCAGATCTAAATTTGAGAGAAAATAGTAATCGGAAGAATCAAGGAAAGAAGTGCAATGACAGTTTTCGTTTAGTTCCTTCCTTGCTTAAGTTGTGAGACAGTGAGAAGGAAAACAACAAAAAAGCAACAAACCCCCCAATAACCTGCCCTTTATTGACTGGATTGCTCCGCTACACTCCGTCGTAACAACATTTCATGTATCTTGGTCCTACAAATGCCACGTGTACCGCTTGCTTATGTCTGAAAAAATTACTACTTTCGGAAATTCAACCTCTGCCTTTGCTTTTAAATTTAATCGCTGAAAAGCCACGGGTTCTTGGAGCATAATATCATGGTATGGAGAAAATTGTTACGCATCACTTTCACTAGTCACCCTTTCGTTTGTCAATGTAATTAAGTTGTTGTCTAATAATGGACTCAATTACTCACTTTTTTATATGACATTATTATGAAATATCACTGAGCGTAAAACTAGTGTCTTATAAAAAGTTAACCCTACACACGTGTTATTGAAAAAAGTGTCATGCGTTCACACGTCATGACTTATCTCATCAGAATAATATAGTAAGGAGACGTTTAATTCATGGATTAAAATTATGTGATTATAATTATTTTTTATTTATGTGTACTTTTTATAAAAGAAAACACTGTAGCGAACTATGAACCATAATTCAAATCATGGTTTGAATCCTCCAACCAAATATCCCCAATCTTTTTAAGTTTTAACATTTAGACAACATTTTTCTCCTTAATGCCACGCTACAATTTCCATAATTTTTAGTACACGCTACCCCGAGTGCTAAATTTAGCATCAAAGATGACATATGCTATATTCTAGCGTGAGTTGTAAATTACAATACTGCCATTAAATACTACAACGTCAACGTTAGTGCATTACTGCTATATAACTACAATATTGTGCCACTAGTAGTCGCTAAATTTATTATTACCTAGACAAATTTAACTTCAGATTTTTTTTGTTATTATTTAACCCAGATGTTTATATTAGTTTATAATGTCCTTTTTCTTTTGAATACAACAATATTGAACTAATTGCTATCTAAATTGAATGTAAATTTAGTAAACGGTATGAAGTTAAAAAAATTTTGACCATAAAAGAACACGTTAAGGTTTCATTGTGGATGTTTTGAGTATAAAATATAATAATTAAAATCAAAAAATTTATAGTTTTTTAAGGTATTGTTATGGTCCTTTCAACTCATACTTCTACCATAACATATAAAAGTGAAAGATGTAACATGATATTCACTAAATATAATATAAAGAAATATAGTTATCCTAAATTGTTGGTACTCTTTTATAATATTAATGTTATGTTTTCTATGTCTACATATTAGTAGAAATACAGTCCTTCTCAGAAGATTGTAGTAAAAACTTAATTTTTTTTTATAGTTGTTAAAGAGGATATTGTTGTTTTATAGAAATTTAATACAGAAAAATCAAATTTAAAACAAAGTATTTTATTTGAATATGATTTAATATCACTTTTTGCACGGTCAAATTAGCTATAATAAGTCTTAACTTTTACCATGTGACATTGTCCTTATCACGCACACACGCACGACACATGATGAATAGTACTATGGCAATTTGTTTCGCTATAGGTGATGGAATGAGTATTTTTCTTTTTTTCTTTTTCAACAAAATAAATGGATTATTGGTGCCATTCAGCTTCCACCTGTTCATCTAATCCAGAAATTGACCGTAATGGGAAATTTACCAATAGAGTATAACGGATCTTATCTAACTCTTTTCTAATAATGCAGTTTCATCACATCACACAAGCCTAAGGGCCTCCTCATAAAAATAAATTAATAAAGACATTTTAACTACTGCACCAACATGACGGACGCGCGATAGTACAAGTTATTGTTAATTTGAACGATCCCGGGCGGAGCACGTGGTAGGTGCTTACGGCTTACCTGATAGCCAAGTGTACAAACCTTATTGGCTAAATGGGGTGCTGAGGATTTTTTTTCCCCTTTCATTTGTTCACTAGTTCATAATAGCGTGTTTTCCCCGGAAATGTTGTGAACACACGTGGATAGGGTAGGTGATCATATGGGGATGCCATATGGTCCACGTGATCCAAGCATGGGTCCTCCCCTATCCGAAAATTCAACGCAGAGAAACTTAAGCATCCTTTTTTTTCCCCTCAAGTGGTATCTAAATTGCTTCATGATGAGTCCTTCGCAATGGAATTGTAACAACTTTTCTAAGCTTTTTAAGAATGGGCACGGCTTAATCAGAACTCCCAACCACAAAATGCCGTAAAGTAACCAACACAAAGTACTATACAAGGCAATTTCCAGCAGGGAAAAAAAAAAAAGAAAGAAAAGAAAAAAAAGGTAATCAAATATTTATTTAAAGCATTTTCTTTTTCGAGAAGAAGTAAATAGAAGTGTCATGCGTTATGGGTCTCCTTAGTGGGCTTGAAATCTTCATTATTAAAGGGAGTGGTTTAATCGGCGGAAATAATAGAAAATAGGCTAATATGAAAAGTTTAAGAAAGTATATATGTCAATTTTTAGTTATAAAAATTAATAGGTCATAATTTGTTAAGTTATGATTCATAACTAGATAAGTTATGGATAAACTTGTCAAGTTATGGTTCATAGCCAGACAAGTTATAGACAAAAACCGTCAATAACTTATCAAGTTATGGTTTATAACCAGACAAGTTATGGACAAAAACAGTAACTTCGCCTATTTATTAACTTATGTAAACTATTGGCCTATTAATTTCAATTCATCTCAAATCTTGGCATATTTCTCTCTTTCTCCCTTTAATCGGTAAGTAAATCAATACTTTGAGGATAATATATACAGGCAGCAATTTATAACTCCCGAAAATAGTACGTCCTAAAAGAAATTATAATAGAATGCACCAAGCGTAATTTTCTCTACTATTTGTTCCATTAACATTTAACATACTACACGTTAATCGTGAGCTGTGTGTCGTTTTTGGGCGATGTGTTTGTTCTTTCCATGTTAATTAGTAATTGTCACATAAGCAACCAGAGATGGGCAAGGATAGGAGTATGGAGAATTATGAATTGAGATTATAATGCTGAAGAGTGAACTTACTAAATAGCCTATGTGGCTTCGTTTTGCAAATTGAAGCTCACAATAATCACTATTTATTCTGCTTGGTTACAAGTACTGAAAAATAGTTTGAGATTATGGACATAGTTTAATGGTAATTTTATCTATGACTTACCATTATGTGTAGAGTTTAAATCCTTCTACCTTTGCATTTTTTTTTTAAAAAATGATGTTTTTTTATATAGCAGAACAAAAATTATTTAATGAAGCACACTCATTTTGATTTTTTTTTTTTGGTTACTATCACGCAAGTACTATAATCACAAGTGATAATTGCGTTACCAACTTGTAATCCTTATCATGTAATACAATAATGACTTATTCGTGACTCAAATAATTATGAAAATGGAAGTTATGTATCAAAGCATAATTGCTCAGTAAGTTATAGTTAATGGTTATTACATACATATATTATGTTGGTCTTACTTACTCTGTTTAGGAGATGAAGACAGAGAAATTGATAGAGGACTTTATATTAGAGAAATGGGAGGGATCGGGACGCTGATCAGCAAAATTCATATAAAAAAATTGCCTCATCAACGTAGACAACAACTAGCTAGCGTGGCTGAAAGTAAAAAAATAAAATAAAAATAATAAAAATAAATTAATCAAAACTAATATTATTCTGTTTTACTTTTTCTTAGTGCTATATAAATATAAGAACTCGCAACAATTGACTATTATACCCTTACACAGTTAGGATTTATAGTATTGTGTTATTTTGGTATTACACTAATTATGCTTCGAATTCCATAACATACATGTTGCTTGCTTGCGTGGCATGCCTCAATGGCAGGAACATGTGCCTACATGGCATGTCTTTATTCTCTACAACAATATATGCATGACACATCAATGCACAGGGTAATGCTTTCAATTTTACCTAATTAACCAGGGAAAAAATCTACAAATTCTGTGCCTTAAATATCAGTAAGAGAGTTGGAGTACTCCCAGGAGTTCCACATGCATGTCTATATATGGCCAATTGTTAAGTATTGAATTATGGAAATATTGCTCCTACAGATCATAAACTACTAAACATTCCGAAGGAGGAAAAAAAAAAAAAGAACTAGCATTTTGGAAACTGAAAAGAGGGTCAAATTAGGTACAAAATGACCCTATAAGCACTCCAATTCATACCCATAAAGTTAAAACGGGTCCTACTAAGTAAGTGAGAGTACTCAACTCAATAGGACCTACATGACTATCATTTTTCTATGGCTACACTAGAAACATACATATACGTAGAGAAAGTCTAAAAAAAAGAGCCATTGGGGTGAGATTCTTTAAAAAAATTCACAGTGAAACACCTTATTTTAACGGTTAGATTAAGTTTTTAAAGATTAATTTTACACAAATTTATATTAAAATTTTATAACGTACCACGTAAATCTATTTTCTCAATAAATTTAACTGTTAAAAAAATAATTTAACAATTAAAATAAGATATTTTATCAGTTATTTTTTCAGAGATTCTCACCGCACTAAAAAGGATCCTTATATATTCTGATAGTCTGATATCCACCCACGACCCTTCGGCTATGACGACCTAGCGACCCTGAGAAAAGGCATACACGAGATACGTACGTAATGCATGGTCATGTCTTTGACTAAAAAGTTCGTTCTTGATAGGCCCTTAATAAGTTAGGGATTTTGGTGACAGCTTTTATTTGGTCGATTCACGCAACTTTTCCTGAAATAATATCTGGAATGCATAATACATCAGATAGCTAGAAAATTCAGAAACCTCGTGGGTTAAGTCACTGGCTCCAAACTATTTGGCTAGAGGAATTGCTGACTTGGTGAAGACCCAATGAGCTTGATAATTCATCTTAAATGTCATGACTGATAGGCCCATTTTTTTTTCCCCCCCTGAAATGGACCGCAAAGTCCTTATCTAATTTAAAAGACGTTTATTTTCTATATTTATTTCTGATTTTGAATCATGATTCATAATTTTTTACAGTATTTTTTTTATAAAAAATACACATAAAATAAAAATAATTTTAAATCATAATTCTAAATACATAAACTAAACATCCCTTATATACTCTTCTTCTTCACCGTCCTTTTATACTTTTTACATTAATTGAGGAACATATATTGACACTTTTGTTCTTTTACAGATTGGACTGCAGTTGGCCGGCTCATGTTGTTTCTGCTTACTTTGACCGGAGGACAGGGAGAATTATTAGGTTCTTTTTATCGTTAATATTATTATTATTCATTATAAGTGTGCTGGTAATAATGTTCATACATTTTGCTTGAAATTTGAGTACCCGAAACCTGTTTAGTTGGAAGATTCGTTTTCTAATTCGAATTATAATTTATGGTTCGTTATAATATTTTTTCTCATAAAAATACACGTAAATAAAAAATAATTATAATTTTATGATTCTAATCCATGAACTAAACGGGTCCGTATTGTTTGAAATAGATTCTAGCCTTCAAAAGGCATACCAACATATTTGCTTAACAAGGTACAATAGGTTAAATAGTCGTGTACTTAAAAATAAAATAAAAAAATGTGAGGTTCTAAAATCTTTTTTTTTTTCATCAAAAAATAAAATGCTATAAAATAAATAATATTATTCACAACTTAGCAGAGCCGCTGAGTGGATGAGATGCGTCCCTAAAAAACTTGACCCGATCATTTTAATCCTTCATATGTGCTTTAAGGCGTTATCATACATTGATATATCATATACGCATAGATATAGTAAAAAGAAATAGTACACTGCCACTAGGTATATAATACTGTATATATTACGGGGACGTACACTTGATATTCAACTTCCTATCTTGTTTTTAATTTATCTTTTTTATTTTATATGCTTTTTTCTTTCAAACCAACGAGCTTCAGCTTACGTATATTATATTTCAGTACTTCTATGTCTATAGTGCTATTCATTAATACAAGTGAGGTAATAGTAAAACTATTAACTAATTAAATATTAACTATCTATACCATATTTTCTGGGTCAAGCATGTCATCATCAAAGAGCCTACATGTAGAAAAAAACTGATGTTATGCGAAGTCTTCTTATTCAGCTCCAATTTCTTGCCGATCTTCTTCCCTACACCCCATACATCAAATAAAAAATTCATCTTTTTCAGTTTTGTGAACTCTTTTCCCTTTCGACTTACAAAAAGTTGAAACGCAAAATAAAAAGATATATAATTAGTAAATATAATTATTCTTCTTATTCCGCATTTATCAGTAGTACCAATTCAATCCAACATATATACTACGTGTTTGTTTCAGAGGTACAACTATAATGTTTTTTTCTCACAAAATTTAAATATATGTTCAAATCTATAAACCAAATGGGTGGATAATGTTTTTTTCTCACAAAATTTAAATATATGTTCAAATCTATAAACCAAATGGGTGGATAGTATGGAGGATTCAAGTTCAACATCTACCATATTGATGCATTTTTGTGAAATATTTAGTTAAGATTCTTCATTAATACACATCATCCAATCATCCATGTTTGTTTAGCATTGTGCATAGACGCGGTATTAATTAATTGACTTCCTAAGTAAATGACGTGATCAAAATAGTCATAACATTGTAGTACCACTGCCTATAAATAGAGTTCCTGAAACCGACAGTCTGATATAAAAGGACACCTTTCATTCAACGAGCAAAAATATTCGCAGACCAAAAGGCCCATTATGATGCCCGAGAAGACGAATTAAATTTTGATAAGGATAAGGCTGAATAAAAGAAAATGTTAGCAAGATGATTCATGCACCATATATTTTTCTCGATTCTGAGCATCATGATCAAAGTGCTACTTCCGGTACTAGTCATGACGTACTGAGAAGGCATCAATTATAGCAACTACAATAAAAGTTACCAAAAAAAAAAAAAAACAGCCATAATCCTCAAAATTTATATGACAGAATTAATGTACTGTATTATTAAGAGAGCAAAAAACAGGAGAAGAAAAAAATATTACAAGAAAATAATTAATCTCTTCTAGTTGACATCATAGAGATATATAATATTGGTATATATCTTCATTGAACAATATATATATATGTATACTTATACTTTCTTAATTACCTATTTAAACAGCCTAGTTGTCCCAAATGGAATTGTGTTGTATCTCCTCAAACTCGGAGAACTTGATGACGTCGTCGTCGTCGTTAAAAATTAGAGACGACGTCGCATAGCAGTAGTGATTGTAATGGTGGTCGGCGAAAAGCAAAGCCTCCGCCATTTGCATCCACATCTTGGGCGAGTCGAGCGGCGACTCGTTTATCGCCTGAATCTGGCTCGCCGACAGCCCCACCGTCACCGGCACCGAGCAGCTCTTAACGGCGCCTCCACTATCCGACGACTTGTCGTTCGGCGCCGCGGCCTCCGAAGGCGGCGGTGACGGCCTCGACGACTTCAACAGCAATGCGGCCTGCTGGGCCGCCATCTGGACGTCCTCTCCGCACGAGCTCGCCGGCCTCGGCAGGCTGTCGGATAGCTCCGGGAAGTTGAGCCTGGCGCCGCGGCCCCTCAGGTGAAGCGCCGCCACGTCGTACGCCGCCGCCGCCATCTCCGGGGTCTCGTAGCTGCCGAGCCATATTCGGGTCTTCTTCCCCGGCTCCCGGATCTCCGACACCCATTTCCCCCACTTCCGCTTCCGGACTCCTCTGTACGCCGGAGGCGCCACGTGGCGGGCGAACTGGGCGACTTGTTGATGATCGCGATCCTCCATTTTGGTTTGGTTTTTGGGCTTTGAGTAGTAGTAGAATTTTGAGAGGTTTTTGGGGGAGGAGAGAAGGGGTACTAGTGTGATATACGCTGTTTCTGTTTTCTAGTTCGATGAGGTTGTGTATAAATAAACTTGAAGACGTGAATTGTTTAATTGAGGAATTATGGGAAGTGAGCTTCCTAGTAGTTACACGTATTGGAAAGCGGCTGTCAATGAGCACATGTGCATACATATATATATATATATATATATATATTGTCCTATTTTTGTTTATCATGCAGTCACATCATGAATCATGCTACTCCTCCATAACTTTTTTTTCTTTAAAAAAAAAAAAAAGAAAGATCGAAGGATTGTTAGTTTTCTAAAATATAAGAGGCGGTTGTGATCCCTCTATCTTTTTCAACTAAGAATCGGTTTGGTTAAGAGAAAAGAAATGAAAGCAAAATGAGCAAAATATAGAAGCGAAAGAAAATGGAGTTTTTCTGATTAAATATGTATTAAAAACTATGATTTTTGCATAATTTTTCAATATGATATAATTTTAATCAGATCAAATTATTAGAAACTGATCTTATCGAAAAAAATATCGAAAGAAAATAATAGTGACCGAAAAGAAAATAATTTTCTTTTTCGTTTTTCGGTAAAATTAAGAGGGAAAGAAAATGTATTTTTTTTTAATAAAAAATATTAATAGTTGGAAAGGTTTTATCTATATAAGTACTATGGAGTCTCCACTAGTAGGAACTGTATTTTTACCGTTAGATTAATTTTTTAACGGTTAGATCTGTAATAAGAGTAGTTCTATGTGGTGCGCTCTAAATTTTTAATACGGACCTACACAAATCTGACGGTTAAAAAACTAATCTAATAGTTAAAAACAACTACTCCCACAGGTAAAATAAAATAACATGTTTCACCATAAAAATTCCAAAATACTATTTTACACATCATTTTGTATATGATAATCATTGTAAAAATCAAGGATAAAACCATAATTTCACCTTGGTTTTGACCTTCAAGTTTTCTCTCCCAAAATTTATTCAAAGTTAGAGAGATGAAAAATGCAAACCCCATTCTATACGTTTTCTCTCCTAATTTCCTTTCTTTTCATTTATCACTCTTACCAAACAGTCGAAAAAACTATTTTCCTCTCACAAATCCTTCTATCCATCGAAATAACTATTTTCCACTCGCAAATCCTTTTACCCTCTAGTTTTCATGTCCACAAAACAGGGTAAAGTTGCTAGTGATATGATGTGAGGTTTAACGACTTTGAAAGTTTTATGTGATATATCAATTAACACCACTTCTTTTATTGTATTTTTATGGTAAAGCATGACGAAACGATATCTTAATGATAGGCGATAGGACTTCGTTAGAAATATATCAAAAATATATGAGGTTTTATCATTTTATTTTTCATCTAATATTATTTTAACTAAATTTAACATTTAAAAGTATTTATGGAACGTGTCTCATGGTAAAAAGCTCCTTTATTTATACCATCTTGTGGTGCAAATTTGTTGGAGCAGATAAAATCCATGCTGTGGTTTTTTCGTAGGTTGTAACTACAACGAAAGGAGAAAATATCCTAAAAATGCATGAAGCAAAAGAGTTTTTATCCTAAAATTGGTCTAAAACTTTTTATAAAGTTGGATTGACTTTATGGCATATTAATGTCTTGTTCACAACTTTTTCCTTTTCAATATTTTCAAATTTTGGAACGTCAAGAAAAATGCTTAATAAGTTATCTTATTTTGTTAGAATAACAATTTTGAGGACCATTTATATATATTCAAACTTTTGGAAACAAAAATGTCCCACACATATATTCATATATATTTTTGGTGTCGACCCTTCTCTTAAGGAATACTCAATCCAAAATCTTGTGAAAAAAGGTGCCGTTGGGCCATTTTGATTGATGGGATGGATTCCACTGTTAAAGACGCGGTTTGATTACTACTTGCGAATACCCTCTATAGTCCACAATATATTGGTTAATTAATCTAATAAACTGCTAGAAGTCTTTTCTTTTTCTTTTTCATTATCCGTTTTAGCTAAAAGTAATAAATATGACCTCGAAAGTATTATCTTGGGATTGCTACTACAATTTTGTGATTTATTTCATTTAGAAGAGTTCAAATTTGAAGTATAAGATCGATTACATTAGCCAAATTGTAGTATTTTTCTTTTTAGTCCAGTAGGATTATTTTCGATAATAAATTGATTCATAAAAGAACACAAAATCCAATTCGAGAAATTAAGGAAAGAGTTACTTTCATGATAATTTCCATGGTCAATGTATGCCCATTAAGTTGTTTCAAGCAGTCACTGAAGTAAAGCAATTCTCTCTCTCTAGCTCTCTCTCTCTCTCGTGAAATTTAGTCAAGAAAATGAATCTGGATAGAAAAATTATCGTCCCGTTCATTTTACCGATTTAAGTTTAGAATTTGAGTTTTACTACAGTAAAAAGTTTTCAGAAACAATCACATTTAACTTTTTTACTATAGTAAAACGCTCTTACATAAAATCAAATCTCAATTCGAATTAAAAACTTGAATAAGCGAACTAAAGAGTCGATGAAATTCTAATTTCTTACTTATTAAATACCTGTATAAGTCTTCTTCGTTCTTCGTAACTTTAGAAGTTTCTACTTTTCTCGTACTACTATGTTGACAACCAGTGTCTAATTTAAAAGGTCATGTGATGCTACAATATATATATATATATGCCTATGGTTAGTGCTCGCTTTTTTTTTTTTTTTTGGTACTCTAACAAAGATCACAATATCATTAATCGTAAGAGAAAGAAACAAAGACAATTACACAAAGATGGGAAATTAGTGTAAAAAACTAAATAAAAAGAAAACTTTAATTGACCGTCAGAGAGAGCATGCGTTTTATTTAAAGTATATATTCCATCATGAGGTCCAAACTAGATATAAATATGCTTTTTAAATAAACTCAAAAATAGTACAGGGCATTAATATATTTGTTTATACAAGCATATGACATTATCTATGTTAATTTACTCCACTTCGATATGGTGTGAACTGAAACAGTACCATTGGACGTATTTCATATACTCTCTATTTCCACGTAATTAAACTATAGTTTGGGAGCAAAATCAGAATAATAATGCAATCGACTAATACAAAATCAATAATAATGAATAAGTAATGCTGCGCATACAGATTATAAACATTTGTTAATTTTAACCCTTTCAATTGAATCACACGACTTTTTCTTTTTGGCAAGAAAACATGCTAAATCACATGACTTGACTAACATATGTAACATGTACACTATTGACGGTGAAAATTCGTCAACAAGATTACGCTGGGTCACCTTTAGGTATCCTGTCAGATTACCGGCTAAAAAGCGTTTATTTGATATTGAAAATGAAGTAGTAAAGCGTGTATATGAAGTTTGTGGTAAATATAATGGGAGGACTGTGCTTGTATGAAAATAAAGACACAAGGTTTATAGTGGTTCACTCTATTAATGAAGAGCTACATCCACTTTTCTTTATATTTCTTTTGGATTCTTTACAATAACTCTCCCTTTCTACTCTCGGGTTGAATATGAAATGAGTCAAACTAAAAGGAAAAAATCCGTCTTTCCCTCGTTTGGGGCTTTGCCCCTTTTATAGCCAAGGGTTCCTTTGTGGGCGGTTCCTCTCGTAGGCAGAATCACTCGAGTGGCCTACCCTCATAGGCTCATACCGTAGCCCACTAATCACCTTTTGAACTGTCCACTCACACAATTAGTCTTCCATTACGGCTCTGTAGACTCCATGTAACCCTCCACCATTTACTGTTGGGCGGTTTAGGGGCTTGTAATTAATGCCTGCACTGCAGACATCTCCCAGTGCCAGACGCAAGTTGGTTGTGTCAGACACATTTCTGGAGATACGGGTGTCGCCTCCCATGCTCTTCCCTCGACGTCTACGCTGAGCGGGCGGTGGCCTCTTCTGGCCGCCGATCCTTCCGTGGCATAGGGAATTTGCACAAGTCATAGGGTCGACGGCATAACGGGTCGACGCCCTAATGATACGAACCCCGCCAACAATGTGACGAAACCCGTAGCCAAATATGGGATACGATCCAAGATCTTCAAGAATTGATGGAAACTGCGACCCATTGCTTAGCAAAGCAAGAACCTTGGTATGGTGAAGACGCCACAAACGAGTATGGAAAATCCGTTTGATAAGTCGGGTTGAACGCCACAAGGAAAACCTTGATAAGTTCGGAATAGCTTTTCAAAGTGAATAAACATCAAAACTTTGTTATTAATTTTCATTTTTCAGCCTTAAATAGCTGAGTATAAGCTGAAAAGGTTTAAAAATTGAAAAGTCATATCTTATCCTTAAGGAGATAGAAGCATAAAATAAGATAAACCCTAAAAATAAGATAAAATGCGCCTAAAGCTTACCCTAGGAAAGGAATCTGAATTTTGACCTAAAGATAAGATAAAACACGCCTAAAAGCTAATCCCTTAGGAAGGAATCCGAATTTAAATCCAACTCCTTCCTTCTAAACGCCTAAAGATAATCTCTTAGGGAAGGAATCCGAATTTGAATCTAACTCCTTCCTTAAAAACGCCTATTATGCAATTTAAATGTTTAAACTTGAAACTTAAACCTAAAAAGATAGAATTATGATAAAGGCAAGTCGTTATCATCAATTTGACTTTATCCCGGGCTGAAAGACACGCCTAACTTCTTGAAATTCCCCTTTGCACATGTATCATGGATTGGCATGCAAGTTGGCCATGCAATGGCTCAATAGACATGTAAGACTTAATTGGCTCTCTTCCGGAATGGCTCAATGGACATGTAAGACTAGTTGGCTCTCTTCCGGATCGACTTTGATGAGTATTTTTTGCATCCGTGATGTTCACATCACCTAAGGCGGGCTTTCTTCGCAGCGTAAAGGGGAAGTGAACTTCAGGCGTCGAGGGTTGTTGCTTTATGAACGCTGTCGCTATCCCACGTGTCACCTGGATTTTCCCACACAACATACACCATAATAAATTTTAAATGGAGAAGAACTTTAAGTGATTCGAAAGCATATTTCATGCAATATTATATAGTTCTCCAAG